TAAAGTTCTCTCATGTAAACTATCATATAATTCACAATAAAACATTAAAAAAAAAATTTACAGTCTTGGAAACCCTGTGCAGGGTCGATATGAGTCAGAACCAACTCCACGGTATTTAGCAACAACAACAACAACAACCTATGCTTATGTATGTAATAGCTCAAAAAGGGAACAAATCTTTACAGTGAGGATCACTCCCATCCCCTAGGTACACAGTATTGACAAGGATGGGCAACTTAGACATTGGCTACCCAAAATGGGGGAAGGGGGGCGGGCGGGGAAGGAGCTACAAAGGCAAGAAGTGACTGGCTTACAAGCTTTTAAGAGGGCATCCAGTTCCAGACAGGGTGGGGGAAGGTAGAATCACCACTGAATGATTTACAATCTGTTGAGACTTGGCAGGCAAAAAGGAAATGGGGATAAGACTCCTGTGGTACATTAGTGAATAATTGCCATCAGGACTGACTGTGAGGGTAGGAAATATAGAGGTAGATGTTTCTTGACAAAAGGAGGAGAATGATTGATTTTGCAGCCCAGGAGTGGAGGTCCCTGGGGCCATCAAGTGAGAAGAGTGGAGAGCAAGACCCTACCCAGAGAGGCAGTGATGCCAACGATGGAGACAGAGACGATGCCGTGGAAGATGGAGCGGTTAGGGACACTGGACTCAGGGAGGGAGAAGGGCTGTGTGCTGGCGGCCCAGGGGCAGTCCTGTGTGGTGTATGCTTTGGTTATTTGATGATGCATGGAGGGGATTGTAATCATTGCAATGAAACGAAGTATGATAGGATGAGTGTAAAGCTGATATTCTCCCATGTAAATCTTACAATTAAAATGTAAAAAACAACAACATAGGATGAATGTAAAGCTGACATTCTCCCATGTAAACTATCACCCAATTCACAATAAAAACTTTAAAAAAGAAAATAAAGAGAAGCATTAAAACAGTACTTTAAATCTTTATATAGTTATTTATTCTGATATTTCTCCTTTATCTTGGAAGTTAGTTACAATAATTACATTTAGAAAAGCAAAATAAAACAACTATCATTTACATTCATTAAAATGCAAATGTAAGATATTACATTGATGGGGGAAAAGTGTGAATTTTCAAGAAGGGATCCCAGACACTGAAGTTATTTCTACAAATAAATGTACCCTTTTAAGTATAACACCTTGTGAAGTGGAAGCATAGAGCTAGGCATTAGGCACTGACTGAGCACTTAGAAAGTTAAATAATTATTACTAAGTACAGCACGGTTTAATCTCAGATAATTCCCATTTATATCTTGGCTAACATGACTAAATGTTTTTCTATGTGCCTTTTAACGTGTTAACAATTTATGCAATGACTGCTTGTAACTTGGCCAGTTATTTCCCATTATATCTAGTCAAAATGAGTAACTATTTCTTCATGTGTCTTTTAAATATTTTAACAGAGTTTTTCTATGTGATAACTGCATTTAATGTGGCATATCCAATTACTCCCTGGAAATTTAAGTTGTCTTGCATGCCACCAAACACAACCTATGACTTCCTCTTACCTGCTGGAAAGTTAAAGAACACTTCGAAATTGAATGGAAATTACGAGACAATTGTTGAAGCTAAATCTAATTCAAGTGCTATCTACTTTTCTAACTTACCATCCAAAACAACTTTCCATTGTTGTTTTTGGAGCGAGCAAGATAAAAACTGTTCTATACAAGCAGATGGGAAGACATTTGCTTCAAGAGTAAATTCTTTAGTTTTTCAACAAATAGGTACGTATTTAATGTTTCAAGCACTATTTGTTATTTTAATTGTATACAAAAAGAGTTATATTTTTCAAAACCTGCATAAAATAGATGTCTTAGGGATGTGATTCTTAACATATATAATTATTTTATATTAATAATACAAGCTGGATCTGTCATGTAATGAGATCAAACTCACAAATAAGCCTAGCATTATTTTATATCCTAATTCTTTTTTTAAAAATCTATAAAAGGAACACTTTTCTCCTAAGTGCATTCCCTGTAATTGAATTTTGCTTGGAAATATAAAAAGCACATCTTACTTCTGTCAAATGGATAAAATATCAAATGACTATTCTGTTGAGTTATTTACATTTTAAAGCATTTATAAATAATGGCATATGTTCAAGCAAGGAATCTCTTGGTAAACATATATCCATTTTTATTCAAGGGGATTTTGTTTGTTAAGAATAGTGCACATGGAATGTAGCTTATAATTCTGCATCTGGAAATCTACACATCAAAATTATTTCCAAGTCTTACTGGAAAAGCTATCCAGTACTGTCAATTGAATCAGGCATTTAAGAGACCTAACTCTACATACATAAGAGTAGGTAGAGTTTACAGGGTTTTTCAATCTTAGTACTATTGTCATTTGGACTAGATAATTCTTGGTTGTAGGAGCTGTCTTAGGATTCTTAGCAGTAGCCCCGGCCTCTACCACTAGATATTAGTAACACTCATACTAGTTAGTAACACTAGTTTGACAATCAAAACATATGCCCAAGACATTGCCAGATGTCCCCTGGAGGGCAAAATCACCCTCAATTTAGCACCATTAATTAGATGAAAGAAACATGCTAGTATGTCTTAAGCCATTTAGGAATAAGCATGAAGCACAACTTTGTAAAATTCAGACTTGAACCACGTTGATAGTTGTAATTCCCAGTGTCTCTTGTTGACTCCATACCTATTTAATTTGAATTCAAATAAAGTAGTATTTTAACTTGTCAGGGAAGTTAGCCAATTCAGTAATTATTCAATATTGTAAGAAGGAACTGGCGCACTGGTAGTGTAGTGAGTTACTAGTTGGGCTGTTAACTGCAGAATGGGTGGTTCGAATCCACCAGCCACTTTGAGAAGAAAGGTTAGGATTCTGCTCTGTAGAGATATATAGTCTCAGAATTCCTATCCTGTGTCATTGTTATTAGCTGGAACTGACTCCAACAACACCACAAAAAGAGTGAACTGGAGATGTCAAGATGCTTGTGATGAAACTTCAAAAGGCCAATTTTGTTAGTCCTTTCTTTAATTATCAAAGGGGTGCATGTAGCCATGATACCATGCATTTTAATTTTCATATAAATAAAGGCTACCAACTAGTTAATTCTAAGATTCACAACTAAAATTACTTGAAGTAGGGTTTTCAGAGGATTAAAATTTACTTTTCCCCCAAGTGTGCTGTTTACAAAGTCTGTTTTTACTGTTCTTGTTTTTTAAATGTCAAATCACCAATAGCTTATCTTCATCATTATTAGTGTTACAGTGTGTTATGAAACTAGTTCAGTTTTTTAGTGTGCAATGAAATATGAAATGTACCTCTTTCCTGTATTGTATTTGGGGCCTATTATATTACAACAACATGAATTTAAGGCATGCATCAGAGTTCAATGTGAATTCACAGTGCCTTTATTGATAAAGCAGACATAAATATCTTTCTAAATGTTCTTGAACTTTGATATATATGATGTTCTTTTACTTTTGTTAGAAAGTGGGAATGAACTGCAATAGGTGAGATTTAAGGGTTTTTTTTCTCCTGCTTAAGTGGTTCAAGATTAAAAAAAAAAAAAAGTTTAAGAGCAAATAACAGAGTTCAATTTTTTTTTTTTTTTTTTTTTTTTAACTGTACAAGGAAACTGGGGTCTAAAGAGACGAAATGACTTGGAAAAACTCATACCAGTAGCTAGAGGCTGCTCTTTTTCTCTCAGAATGGGCAGTGAAAGTAGTATCAGAACACTGGTAAATTTAATTTAGCTCTTCTCTTTCACTGAGTTGTTCAGAATGTTTTTCAGATTTAATGTAGTTTATTTTTAATTCAGGTGCAAACTGGAACATACAGTGCTGGATGAAATGGGACTTGAAATTATTCATCTGTTATATAGAGTCATCACTTAAGAAGCCTTTCAAGAAGGATTTTGACCTTAAGGTCCGTCTTCTATATGTTCTGTAAGTACCAAAGAAATTAATTTGGTTCTTTCTAATATACAAAGGTTTTTTTTTAAATGCCAGGACTTCCATATACAAAAGTGAATTCTCAGATTATTTTCCATCCTTACATTTTGTTTATTTCTATGGACTCTCTAGGGAGCAGTTGGTGAATTATTTTTTATATGAACATTCTTTTCCATTAGGTTTCTTCTGTTTTCAGACTGTTGATATAGGTAGCAGGATATTACAAATATGGGTGTGCATTGATTCTGAAATAACTGGGAATTCAACCCAGGACCCTAGATATTTGAGTAGAAAAGAAAAAAAAAATTCTTTTTCAGGTAGATCTCTTCTCCACACACTTACTTTTATTGCCTTAAAATTAGATGCTTAGTAGATACTTAAAATTTATTTGAGGCAGACAGAGAGACTTGGTGGTGGTTTCAAACAGTCATACATTTATAATTTTAACAGCTAGTTACATCATTCACTAGTGTCCCTGGATGGCAAAGATGGGTAAGTGTTCATCTCCTAACTTAAAGATTGTCGGTTTGAACACATCCAGAGGTAGTTTGGAAGAACAACCTATTTACTTCCAGAAGGGCACAGCTTTGAAAATCCTATGGAGTCTAATTCGACTCTGGAACACACAGAATCACCATGAGTCAGAATGAACTTCAAGGCAACTGGTTTGGTTTTGGTTTTAATATATAATATATAATTCTAGTTTTCTATAACTCATGATTAGAAACTTAATTTTCTCATTTGTTCTTTCTTTTTTTATTTATTCTTAAGGAGAAAGAGACTTATTTCTTTCAGTTCTGCAGTTGAGATCTTACCAGGTGAGGGGCAGTGTGCTATAAAATGCCCATATAAAGATGGATAGTTGTGATCTCTGCCCTTGACATGCTCACAGGCTAATGGCTGGGACAGATAAATACAGTTTCTGTTAGTGAAATGTATTTGGTAGGCACACAAAATTATGGTAGCATATGATGTTACGGGAGGTTAGATGGGGATAGCAAGCCCAGTTGGAGAGGAAAAAAAGTAGAAAGGAGAGGTTGACTTGAGTCTTTTAAAAAAAAGCAAAGCTAATGTTATGCCAAGAAATGGATTAGCACCCTTTAGGAACTTGTTAGTTGACTTCTCCAGTGCTATCCCAGGATTAGTGAATCCAAAATTCTGGGGATGAGACAGTCCATCTGTGTTTAGCTACAACATCTGCCTCATTGTCTCTCAGAGAGCTTCAGTGAAGGTGTCATCCAGGGCTCTTCAAAGGTTAGTTGTGGGACTAACTAACCTTTTCAAAGGTTGTTGGCTTTTTGACCAAGGGCCTCATTTCTCACTTACTGTTGGGTGGAAGGCTCTTTGTTTCTTGCTACATTGATCTCTCCATAGGGCAGCTCACAACATGGCAATTGAGCTCAGAGTGAGCCAGTGAGAGAGGGAGAGAGAGAGAAAGAAACTTTTGTAACCTAGTTTTGGACGTGATATCCCATCACTTTTGTTGTATTCTATCTGTTAAGACTCAAATCATTACATTAAGCTTATACTCAAAAGGAAAAGATTACATGAGGAGAAGGAGCTATGTTAGAAGCTGCCTACCATAGTCCTCAAGTGCTCATTTCCCTCTATACTGGTTTAAAGTATATAATCTGTTTGTTTGTTTTTTTTTAATTCATGTTCACTGATGTACTTGCATGTCAAAACCTAAATTTGACTAAGTCTAGCTCTGGTAGTGTAGTGATTATGAATTGAGATGCTAATCTCATGGTCAGCAATTAGAAACCACCAGTGGTTCCATGGAAGAAAGATGAGGGCTTCTGCTCCCGTAAAGATTTATAGCCTCAGAAACCATGCACAGGCTTGTTATGTGTCTGAACTGACTCCACAGCCCATAACCACCACCATCACCACTTTTCTGCTAACTCCATACATGTAAGTAAAAGTAGAGCCCATTGACTCATCTCGCTTTAACTCTTTCAAGACTGAATTATTTTCTATTTTGAACATTTTGTTGAAACTTTGTGTTTTCAGTAATGGAAAATCTTTTGACTTAAATTAAAAAAAAAATGTTTTGAGGTAATATGGATTTTGATATAATTAGTGGGACATATGTATCCTGAAAGGTCTCTGGTGTTGGTGTTGGTGGGATGAAGCATGTTTCCTCAGATTCATGCAGTTCTATAGACCTCTACAAGATGACAGCACACCAAAAATGGGATAGAGACTTCCCACTAAATGCAGGGGGCAGAAAATATTGTTAAACTGTAGATTCTGATTCACTATATCTGGCGTGGAAAGGCAAATTCTCATCAGGGAGTCAAGCCAGAACAAACCAGTTGGAAGCTGTATTCAAAAACAGATTGCTTAGCATCAGTATTACTGAATGAGAATTCCTTAGAGAGGGTCTGGGAATTTATATTTTTGACAAGTATTCCAGATGATTCTTTTGATGAGGTTAATCTGGGACACCCACCTAGGCTTTGCATTTTTTTTTAAGTTCAATTTTTTTTTTTAA